TGGTCGATCAGCTCCGGGAGATCCAACGAGCGAACATGGCATATGATACCGCGAAGGCTGTGCGTAGTTGGCCTTCGCAATCGCATGCGGCACGTTAAACGTAGGGGCGCGATATGCGGGGATGATCATTTTTACCACCGGCACCTATGCAGTCAATTCGATTATCCTGGGCTGGGTAGGTTCCACATGCGGCCCAAACGAAGGAGAAGAAATCGGCGTCGCTCGCGCTAGTCAATACTATTTCTAATGTGTCTTTCATATGGACTCCTGTGAGTTCCCTGTTCATTAGTTCTCCTTCTACAGTTTTTTTTGCAAGATTGCCTTGCTTTATTTCTTCGAAGCCCCCCACTCATAGCCATATCATTTCCTACTGCGTGACAGTATCTTTGGCCCAGTTCCGACAAACCACGGTATTTAATCGCCATGTCTTCCAGCATTGGGTTATCCATTGCAACTGCAGCGGTTGCATGGGGAATGCGAATTGTCCTCGTGAAGAGAAACAAAAAGATCAAACAGGCGAATGAGGGCATCCTTTGTTATGCTTATTGATTGGGTTGATTTGGTTAAAATCACATTTTGATAGAAAACTACAATAATCTTGAATGGGAATTGGGGGTTGTGGGGGAGGGTGGGGGATTTGATCCATCCTAATTCCGCCGACTGCCATGAATTGTCTGCTAAACTTGAGACTCAAATGATGTTCAAAAGGTGATTGATAGATCGGGGCTGAAAGAAGAAGACTCCTCAGCGAGCCACATCAGGCGGCAGAGAAGGAGAATTCAAGCGCAGAAAACAGATTGTTGAATTATTTTGCTTCTATAGAGCGCTGGATGGACACAAATGGGAAAGAAGACAGTTAACTAGTCATCCATGGATGCTTAGGATTGATGCTGGTAATTGCGCAAATCTGGTGCAGTCATCAAGGACAGATATTTTAGTTTCAACCGCTTTCCTCTGCTTCCCTTTCGGTAAATTTAATCTAAATAACGATCGATCCAAATATATATGGCTGTTGCTAAATCTAACGGCGAAAGGGTAAACTCTCTCATTCGGAGTGGGGTTGAACATCTAAATATCTAAGATTACCAAATATGGTGTCAGAATATACTTAAGTCCACCATCAGATTGACAGAGGAGGGAGGAATGAGACAGGCTTAATGCATCAAGAAGGAGAATCAATCACATACGACCTCGCTTGCGAAAGTAAATTTAATCAACAAGAAATGTGATATCCAAAAGGAAGATAAATCGTAAGTGAGAACCGAACTAGTTCTCTTTCAGGCCGGCAAATCGTATCAGCATTCTTCGACAAGCAGGCCCTTTTACTTCTTTAACGCAGCAAACCTCCTAGCTAAGTCGTCGACGTCGGGGATGCCGCTTCTCTTACTCTCCATCCCGGCAGCAGGGCCCTGCCCCTGAAGCTTCGATGAAGATGTGTTGTACGTAGCCGCCTCGTTAGATGTGCGATTAGGTCGCACAAGATTCCTAGGCGGTGGTTTTTTCTGTGGTTCCGTTTCTGCATGTCCATGTGCATGCGTATCCTTTGGAAGGGAGTCCTTTTTACCACCATCCAAACCATAGGATTTATCATCATCACCATGTTTTGTCTGCTCATAAGAAGGAGGATTGTCCTGCCGTTGATCTTCCGCATCAACTCCTTCTCCTTCTCTCTCCCCTTCTTGTCCACCTCCACCATCAGTCTCGTCGTCATCTTCTTGGTGCCATGAAATACCATGCGCCTTTGCAATCTCCTTCAAATAATTCTCCACCAGCGACTCTGGTGGATTCTGGATTCTCAACCTATCAATCAACTCGTTCGGAAGCGGGATGGACGGATCAGCTTCCTGCGCCTTATTCGCAAACTCAATACCCCATCTCTGAATAAGCTTTGCGCGCAGTTCTGGAAGGCCCGGGATGTCACGCGGCAAGCGGACGTAGCAGTAGAAAATGACCGCAGCGGCCTTATCTAGGTCTGGGTCTAGATACACGTCCATTTCTGGTGCGGAAGCAGATGGGGTTTCTTGTTGATGTTCGTCTTTAGCTCGTGTCTCTATCGTTGTCGACCTTTCACCCTGATCTGTCGATAACGGTCCCTGCTCGTTTTCAGGCTGTCGTTGCGCTGTTCGTGTCGATGATGGTGATGGTGGAGGTTGAGATGGTCCAAGTCCCAAAGCCTTCCATATCCGCCAGCCACCGCTTCCAGCGGAAGACTCATCAGAAGACGCATTACTTGGCCCTTTCACATCCACACTCGATTGTCGCTTCTTCTTTGGCCCAGCCCGCTTGTGTTCTAGCGCTATATGGTCCACTATGTTCGCGCGCACATGAAGCTGTTCGCAATACAGCTCCAGAATCTCCAGTGCAGCTATCACATTATCATTTCCAATGACATCTTCGGTTTTTATGCGGGCCAGGTCGTCACGGCCGTCCTTGAGCAGCTTCGCGAGCTCGCGGTGCTTGGCCTTGGAGTAGCCGTGGCGCTCTTTTTTCAATTGGCGGATTCGGTAGATGAGGGCGCGGAGGGAAAAAATGAGTTCGGTCTAGAGTTTCTATATGTTTAGCTTGCCTGCTGCGCAGGGTTATGGCTGAGATGCGATATGTCGGGATTTAGTTGGGAGCGAGGCCACGTACAGTCTGCTTTGCCACGGGCATTTTCTATCGTAGTTTCATATCTTTGTCGAAAAGACGATAACCCTTCTCAAATGAATTCCTTTATAAGCCCATTTATACCGGATCTTATTGTCGTCACAATTTGTCGAATCCGGGGATTTGATGATACCCGATGTTTTTGGAGGATGAAACGTTGAGGTGGTGTGGGATGTGGAAGTAACTATCGCGCTTATCGATAAGCCAACCCCGCGTATCCAGCATCTATTTGCCAGCGAGAGTGAAAATCAAAAATGGTAAGGAATCACATCTTTAAAATGAGTTCGGATTTTTTTGATGGTTACTGTACCTGCGAAGGGTATAAAAGAGAATAAACCTGTGCCTGATCACAGACGCCACAAAAACACTGCCACAAGTGGTGGAATCAACGCCATGTTAAACGGGAATGCAAAATGTGAAAGCAGCCCTCGATAAATGTCTTGTACCGGGTAGATAGCGAAAAAAAAAAAAAAAAAAAAAAAAAAAAAAAAAAAAAAAAAAAAAAAAAAGCAAAGGACAAAAAAGATGCTACGGCCTGCTAACACACCACACCCAAAGGCTAGCTAACTGGAGGTTATAATAAATCGAAAATCCCGTCATCATTGTCATGGTCATCATCATGATCCGCAGGCAGCCACGGGATACCTTCAGTTGCACCGTATAAAACAAACCCGACGCTTAGCATACCCCCAAGGCCACTTCTTTCCAAAGTGAGAGACGTGGCACTGCTTTCATATCCATCTTCGACGCTAAGAGTCTCAAGCATCCCTTCCAACTCCATGCGACGCGTTTGCCCACGAATTGCCCTGCGCATAGCTCGTGCTCTCCTCGCATGGTTTGCACGCTTCATTGAGGCTATTTCCTTCTTAGTGAAGGTATAAGGAGCGTTCGTAATGGGGTGGACGTGAGCGAAATGACATTCGTTTCCGAAGAGGCACTCCCCCGAGAATGTGGGATGAAGGAGACCGCCGACTGCCGGGTCAGGGTTCTCGATCACAGGCAACTCTCGCCATCGTTTGATGCTGTCTTCAAAGTAGCGGCAAGGGGTTGCCTTCAAGCGCGCGAGGTACTTGTCAATGATTTTAGCCTTGGCCGGGTTGCCTGCTCCATTCACGCTACCAGGTTCCAATTTTCGGGCAGAGTCATCCGCGGTTCCAGTCCCACCGCTGGTAGTACCAGCAGTATCGGTGGCAGCCTGTGGCGGGGTGGGAAATACGGAACTCGGCACGACATATTCACTTTTAGTCCGACAGAGCGGGCATGTCTTTGTTATCTCTCTTGGGACATGAGAATTGGGCATACTGATCACATCTTCGGCAGAAGTCCCTACAGATGAGGAGCGCCAGCTTCGTATACAGTCTATCCCAGTCAACCACGTGATATCGAGGAAGGACAGAAACTGCTATAGCGTAGCGAATACGTACCGAGGCAGAAGACGTGATCGCAATTAACGAGCAAGCCAAAGATAGTAGGATTCTCCATACAAATTCCGCATTGTTCCTCAGAGGTCTCTGCATTTAGGAAGGTTAGCCATGACAGGAAGAGCCTGCCCTGTGGAGGGCCCCGAAGAAGCGACTGCGAGTATCAGACACCCACCGGCTACGGCTGCTTCAGTGCGGATATTTGACGCGGCTGCTGCGGGGCGTCGGAGGAACTGGTCCACCCCGGCCAGAGCATCGTCATGCCGGAAATAACATTGGTCGCCACGGAAACAATGGCCCTTTTTCCACCACCAACAGTCGACTTGGCTTGGGTGGAGGCGTGGGCGGGGCGCAGGTGCTGATTGCTGATCACGCTCCATGTTGAATTGGGAGACACGGCTTCTCGAGCGAGTTCAACCAAGATGTGATGGTGTCAACCGAATGGATACTTGTCCCAGGCGGAGTTGGCTGGGGGGCTTAAGAGCAGCGCGAGATGGATTACCTTTCGATGTCACGACGCAGAGACGCGGGTGACTGTGGCGGGCTGCCGAATGGGGGATAGCGCATTGCGTCACTGTTCCCGGGTGTTCTGGGACCAAACCTTAAAACAACTTCACCTGTCACCAGCCACACAAGAACGGGGGATTATCAGTCAAATTTAGTGTCGGCGGTGTCTTTAACCCGCTCCTGTCGGCCGTTGGCTGCACAGACACATGCCATGCGGACGCACGAGTGCCAGGCTGAACAGGATGAGAAAAAGGATGCTAATATAGTTCATATGGTAATATATGGGCCACTTCGTGTGCGTCGGCGTCTCCTGCCAACTTCAAATCTGGGAAACTGCTGGTTTGTCTAAATTGAATGAACGAGAGGGATTGACATTTAGATGCTCTTCGACCAGTTGCCGTTGCCTGTGCGCGATATGTTTGAATCAGCCAAAATGTCGTTTTTGGCCGTCTCGTTGTGGATTCGGCGTCGCAATAACCCTTTATGTAACGGACAACCACACGCATTGCGTTCAAGATACGCTAGAGCAGGGATGCAACATATGGATATTTGCTGAATCAAAGGAAGCGAAAAGGAACAGTTCCCTGAAAACAAAACCCATAGAAGTCGCTTTCTTTCGAAGAGTTGGACATGTAGTAAAATAAATAATAACCCCCATTTATAGGCTCATTTCCATCCATTATCTTGAGGGCAGCTTTGGGGCCAGAAACAAACACCAACACTTCCCTTCGCTTCATCGGGGAATTTGAATGGTTCAACTAAGTCACCTGTTAGAAGGAAAAAAAACCCTCCTCGAGTTATTTGGTGAAACTATGTTATTTAACTAGCAGTAGGTGGATCTCGTTGATGCATGCCTCTGGGCCTTCTTGTTCATAGTTGTGGTCTAGGCTTGACTGGCTGTATGGTTGATATATATTCATTTCCAAATGACAGCAACTGGAAGGAACTCTAACGCGGATAGATGCCATATCCAGCAAGCTGTGCCACCGGAAAACGGACAGTGCATTCGTAATCACCAGATCCAAGGACTCAACAATAAGGTTGCATTTAGCACAAAGTATATGAAAGGGAAAATCGCATGTCCGTTCTGTACGCCTGGCAAAAGAGCGCACAAGATCCCAAATCAAACATAGAATTTTATATCAATAGCGCTCTAGGTCTTCATCCAGATCCTCTTTGCATCTCCCAGCTCCTATCACTGCCCCTCCAGTGTCTTCCACCCTTCAAACACCTCTCCTTCTGAGCTAGCCCCCTTCCTATCCCTCCAACCCCATGCCACGCAATAGTGGCTGGCTAACAATTTCCACTCCTCGAATTCATCAAGCATCTCCAACCCAGCCACTCTCTCCTTTTCCTCCTCGCTGATCCATCGTTCCCATATGAAATCCACATCTGCCGCCCCCTGGCCGCTCACAAACCCATGCTCGAGCAGCCTTTCTCGCTCGGCCGATAATGACGCATAGCGATGTAGAGTTTGCAGATGGATACCCCTCGTTGCAAGGTTGGCCACCATTGTCTTCCCAAACGGGTCGTCGGGTCGTATCGGCTCGTAGAGTATCAAGGCTAGGGGTATCGAAGAGGCTGAGGGTGTTCGTGGGGAGTCGAGTGCCGGTGTGGATGTAACAGTCGCCAACGTTTCGGAAGGTGGAAAAACCGTCTGCGTAAAATAGGAGAGCACATTGATGGCATTGGTGGGTGAAAGATAAATCAGACAACATTCGGATATAAGTAACGTTGGCAGGGTCCTATCTAAGCCTTGCAGTAAGTTGGGTGAGCTGGAAGGCGACAGCGTCCGTAGATCGACTGGATGGACGTGAAGGTATTTCGAATACAGAGCATCGCCATTGGCCGATACATTTGCATCGTCTGGCCCGTGTATCCCTATGGTTTTGTGTAGGAGCGGCGAGGAGCGGATGGCTTTTATTTTCGCAGTTGTGTTGGTTGGGAAATCTAGCTCGTGGTATAGCAGTTCAAGGGTCGGGTCTTTGGAGAGTAAGCGGAATACACGCGTATCTGAGCCTGCACCAAGTGATATGATCTGCCTCTTTCGAGTTGGCTTCTCGTTTGTGTTTAGGAAACGGTATACAAGGGAGTCCAAGGCGGTTGTTCGCACGTAGGTTCCTGCCGGGAACCGTTTCAGCAAAATATTGCGCAACCAATTCAAGATCCAAGCGACGTGCAACAATTCAAATAAGGATATAGATTAAAAGTAGGAGCAAGTACCTCTATTGATTATCGGATATCTTTTTGAACCTATTGCCTCACTGTTCACTAGAGCATGTGCAAAAGGGTCATGGAGATATCCTAGCTCCACTGCGCTGAGCCTAGAAACACTGGCATCATTGTCCGTTCGCTGAATGATCCGATCCTTTGCCGTCGTGTCTCCCGAATGGCTGGTAGTTGCCTCATATCTCTCGCGGCCCCTAAAGCGGCCTTTACCAGCTCCCCGTCGAAGAGTGTTTAAGTTAGGGATCTGAGGTGCTGACATGGACGCTGTGTGAGGGTTCTGGAACTTGATGTTTTAGGCACTGGTGGGGTTTTTTGTTCCCTGCTGATATCATCAAGATGTCATCAACCAGTCTTTAATTGGCAAAAGGATGGAAGCAAATAAAATAAAATACTATTGAATAATAATAATAATAATAATAATAATAATATTAAACTCTTTGGATTTTTCTATCCATGGAGAGTATAGCGTCTTTGTCAAAACCTCGCAATCACACCTTTGAGAACAGTACGGGTAAGTTTTCAATCCATTTCTATCATAACAGTATTATAAAACCAAACATCGCTAAGTTATGAATAAGGGAAGTTGTTCCGGCATAGCGGGCAACTACTAGCGTTACTGCTTTTAAACCAACGGAAGAGGCAATCGGAATGAAACGTATTCTTGCATGTCGCGCACCTCTTGTTGGGCGTTTGCATGTTTGCAGATATGACCGAATAGCAAATAGCACATTCGCTCTGTCCCTTCAACGCGCCTTGGACATTCCTGCGGAATGCAAGCAAGCCATCGACAAGGTTGCCATTGGAAAACATAATAACCCCTTGGATCGTTAGAAGCCAGCTCCGCCATTTCTTTTCGTCCACCGCAACGCGGGCGCGGCCTTCTACTACAGCTTGCTGTAATGGATATGTTGATGGTAAATATATGGCAACTGAAGTCGGTGGCGAATCTTCATCAACTTCAACGCTCGCAATTATTTCAGCGGCCCGACGAGATACTTTCACCTGCAACGGCTGATCTTCGTTAGTAAAATTTTGGGCCGAGAACCACTCGTTGACATTCCGAAGCGAGTCCTCAATAATGAGAGGTGATATCTAAACCAGATTAGCCGGATATCGCGGCGCGGTACGTGCTCAGGATATTACGAACTTACATATTTTTCTGTCCACGTTTCAACCTGCCCTTTCACACGTTTCTTGCTATCGATCCACCAAACTTTTGTCAAATTAGGCAGATACTTCAAACATAGATAATACAAATGCACTAGCAAACACTGCGTCTCTTTCTGAGCTGGATCAGACTCATCAAGGCTGAAAGACCGGATATCGAACTTTGATGCGTCAATCAACTTTCCGTGTGGATACTGTAGGAAGTCAAAGGTAAATTCGAGAAGTGGATTCAAACAGTCATTTTCTTTAATATTAGACACATAACTCTCTTGGACGGGCAGTGACTAAAAACCATGACATAAGTTATTTCCAGCCACCTATAATATTTTTTTTTTTTTTTTTTTTTTTTTTTTTTTTTTTTCATTTGCTTTGGGGGGGGAAAACGTACAGCATTATTAAAGTGATCGAAGACCGTTTTCCAGCTTAGCAAGTAGCATCGAAGCCCGATCCATACTCGGTCATCATCTTTAGCCTGAGTTATAATATTTACGGCAGGGACTTCCAAAAGGAGAGAGATCAATTCATCCGGAAAACTGGCTACGGCGTCTGACAACGAAACATTCAGGGTCACTGCCTCTTGCAATTTTGGGATCGCCCGATGCAGGACGTCGAACGCAGCACGTTGGATATCTCTATTAGGCGCCGAGAGGATGGAAAAAAGGTCATTGATATCCTCGACGTGGTCAATGGGTAGTCCCCATAATGGGGGGGAAAGAATATTGGCTGTGATTTTGAGGGGCTCGTCATAGCTCAATGAGGAGTCTATACTTCATGTCAATATGAATTATCAAAAAAGAAATGAATAGATGAATAGGTAGATAGATAAAATTAAACGGAGAATCGCTCACCAAATTCTGCGAGTAACCTGATCAATGCCGGTGAATGTATCTTCCGGGAGGCAGTCCATGCATCCACCAAGTCATCGTTGCTTTCTCCTGTCGCTAGAGACTTTAAGCAGGCGAAAAGTCGTAACGAGGAGTATAGCACAGGAAGAGATTCGTCAACTATTTCAATTTCGTCCCATAAATTTTGGAGGAAGTCAAATACATCTGACCAGTGAGATCCGTATATCTCTCTGATCAATGGCAAAATTTTAACAAGCAATTTGAGGATTTCCGAAACCAAACCCTGTGGTGGGGATTGCGACTGTAAGCAATCGACCAAGTGCTTCACCAGAAACACAAGCCGAGGCTTTGGAACGCTCTGAGCAACATTACTCTCTCCGCTGATGAGAAGGTTGAGGGTTACGATCTTACGAAGTCCTATACAATATTAGAATTATCAATTTGGTATGTAGAGTTGTAAATCTCACCTCCAGACGCATTCTCAGATTTAAACCCAGTGGAATCGGAAATCAGTTCATTGCACAATCGAACGCCAGATGGAGTGGCTGCTATAAAGTCTCTGAACGCTGCAACAACTGAAGCTAAAACGAAGGGGTTCGAAGGTCCTTCTATCTGTTTTGCCCGCGTCAAGAAAGATTCAGCAGATCGCGCAGTCTCTGAAGAATCACGTTCGGCGATGATCCTTGCAAAAGTCTCTGCTATATTGTATGATTTCGGAGACGTCCCTTGCATTGACCCGAACTGCTTTTCCCATAAATCAAAAATATTTGAAGGAGCGGGCTTTTCTTGCTCAGTTACCAGCGTGGCAGATAGAAGCCAGCCTTTAATTATCAGTCGAGCTTCTGAAACTAACTCTGCAGACTCATCTCGAATATCTGGCATGTCACGGTCAAAAAAGCCCTTCGGGCCTTCCAGGCTTACATCGTCATTAACCAGTTGGGTTGCAAGAGGTAAGTAGAAGAACAATATTTCACGGGAAGCTTGCTCGATAAATTCCAGGCTAGTTGACGACAGCACTTTGGTAACGTAGAATGTCAGGCGAAACCCAGAAGAGAAACGGTAGGAGTCGCGGGGAACCGAATCGATATCCTGGGAGAAGCCTTCAGGAAATGACGTATCGGCCAGAAACACTGCTCCCGCAAGCATCTTACTTATGGAAGCAGACGCCTTCAGTGGTCTCCGAAGGAATGGATCTAACGCTTGTTCCCATTGATCTCGAGTTGGCAGTAAACGAGATAATATCCTAGGTTTGTCCTCCACAGACGATTTTGCAAGGACCTCACCTGCAACATCGACCAAAGCATCAATGCTGATTGAACTAATTAGCAAAAAGAATTTTTGGCCGCTAATCATGTATGGAAGGTAACTTACGATAGCGATTCCATTCCAACATTGTTAAAGTTCTGCTGGACGATGTCAATAGACGACCTAGTCGCACTCTCTCCTTTTATTATATCTCTAATATGTGTTTGCAAGGAACCAGCAAGTTGAGCAATTTCATCGGTTGAAGATTCAGCGATATACAATATTTTGGAAACCATCTGTGAGCCATCAGGACTATTCACAAATTCTCTAATAACCTCAGGCATTCTAAGGCTATCTGGGAAAAGACCGTACAAATCCTCCCGGATGTTCTTCTGGGATGACAGGCTATAGACTAATGAATTCAAAATCCGATGAGCGATCTCATTTCGTGAGCTCGTTTTGATCAGAACAATGATTTCCATCCAGGCTTCGCGGGTATTATGTAATGCTCTGTTTAAATCTTCATGATTAAAAGTTCCAAGTTTGGGTGTGCTTCAATATCGGGGGAAGTGATGCATGAAAATAATTTTTGGAGTCCAGGCAATGCTGAGCTTCCAAGGTCCGTATCCAGGAAAGCATCTATGGAATTTTTAAGGCCACCTTCAAAGCCTTTATTGCCACGAGATCCAAATAGAACAGAAATTAGACGATCCGCTGCTGGGGAGAACAGAAGTTGCGCAATATCTTCAATGAGAAATGTTCCTAGTCCCTCGACCTGGGTCGCAATATCAGGGACTCTAGAGAGAGCCTCATCAATCATTGAAGCAGCTCCATACGGTTTTCCATTGCGAGATCTCAAAATCTCCAGCGAATCTTGGAGTAGAGGAGTGCCAGCATCCTGGAAAATGCTTGAAATGAACGACAGACTGCTGGTTTGTGTTATTTGGGTCAAAATCTGCCCTTCTAGTTCAAAGAGACGCTTCGCTTGGGCACAGATTGAATCTTGGGAATCCTTAAAGCCGCTGGCTTTTTCCGGCGACGACAATTTGACTGTTTGGATCAACCTGTCGGACAGGCTCATCCATAGGCCATGGAGGATATCTGCTCCAGTGTGTTCCGCCAAAAGAATGAATGTTTTTGCGCATAACTCTACCGCGAATTTGCCATTGAGCGACCACCGGCTGTTATCACGCAGATCAAGGATATACTGTTCTAAAATAGGAGAAATTTGGCTTTTGAGGAATTTTTGGAAAGCGACTTTATCTGAGACAAAAGAAGATATCCAAAATCCTGTGTCGATAAAACATGACCAGGCAGCTCCGAGATTACCTCCTTGCTCTTCCCGGGTTAGAACTGAATCGTGGATGGTTTCCATTAACTGGTTTGCATCTTGTATGGTGCTGTCATCGCTGACTGGTTGCCTAATCAAGATTTCGAAGGGAATAGATTTTAGCAGTATATGCAGGTTTTCCCAATAGGCAGCATTAGCCCCTTCCGAGCCCTTTTTGATATACTGGTAGAGTCGTTTTGTTGCAGAGACTTTCCCAGAATAGTCTGACGTCCATAATTGTGGACGCTCTTTAGTCAAAGTTAACAGAACATTAGAGAAGTCAATAGCAGAGCCTAGTTGGCTCTTCGGAAGAGCCTTCGACAAAAAACAATCGCTAACAGTTCTCCATTCGATCAAATCTCTCTCCACTGAAAGCAAAGTCCGAAGCAAATCATAGGTAGATCGGCGAACAAATGGATCTTCATGGTATGAAAATGACCAAAGCGATTTGCTGGTAATAAGAGTCGTGATAAAATCGGAATCCTTGTCCAGTTGGACAGTCGATGATTTAGCTGTTACAATCTTAGTTCCCCTGTCAGGTTACGGAGACCACTACCACGAAACTTACCGATAAGTTGATTGAGAACCTGTAGTGCCGTTGAGACAACCCGGGCATGCTTTGCTTCGGCTTCATCTGGCCTAACAGTCCGCTGATCGCTTAGAGTTTGGGGGCTTTGCTCTAGGACTGCATCGATAACAAATTCGAAAATTGATGATCGGTAGACTCTCCATAGGCTTTGCCTCTTCTCTTCCGTAGGAAAAGCTCTGACAATTGATTCTTGAGCAGCTCTAAACACTAGTTTGTCGCTATCGTAGAGGCCGGCGAGCCATGCCCCAATTACCCTTGAAATATACGGAGCTATTCGCCTTCCGCATAATGATACGAAAAGACCTTGAAGGACATGGGCAAGTTGTCGAACCCGGCGACAAATATCTATTGACATGCGTGGATATACTTTTATCTAATCAGAGGATCAGGAGATAAGCAAATATTACTTCCAGTATACATAGCAACACATACCCAAACTTCAATGAGACCATCTTCCAAACCCCCACTTCGGGTATCTTGCGCACATAGGAAGCCTTGCAGGTCCTCTAGAGCCTTCGTTTTCGTGGTAGCATCCTTTTTCAGGAGGTTTTTGAACGAGACAACCAACTGTGGTTCGGAAATTTTGGAAAGATCTGGCGGCTCCGCGATGTATGACAAAGAAGAAGAGACTCGTTGAGTCATAGAGTCAGTTGAAAAGCCCCCAAACGCTCCCGCAGAGCTCCCAAACCCCCCCGAGGCAGCTCTGCTGCTGGATGCTTGAGACTTGAATTTTTTATACATGGCTTTATAGAGGCAGCAATCAGGGATATGGCTAAGCCAAATGAAATCCTCAGCCTTTCAAATGATGAAATATCAGAATTTTTTGAAATATATATATGCATATATCAGTTATCCCATGAGCAAAGAGGTCTTAATTGACGTCTCATTAACGAGCATCAACAACAAAAAATAATAAAACCTCAGCCCGATGTTTGTTGCCTGAAGAATACAACAGATTCTAAGCCATATCATGTGACCTGTTGTCTCCTGCCCAATTAACTACGTATTTGGCGGAGCTCCGGAAATGGAGGCTCAAACGCGACTTTGCCATTTCATCAGGATACTCAAGCACGAATTAAAATTTGTCAATGGTTGCATCTCATCGCAGCCGGCTAAACGCCTCTATCTATTCATTGCTCTAAGGCGCTAGTGGCATTATTTGAGGAGGCCTATCTCCAGCGCCTAATATGAAATTCTTCATCGAGTAACATTCTCCATATTAACCTTCCCCATGTTTGCTGCAGGTTTGGTCCCCCTTACTAAACTGAAAGTAGTGACCTTCCCGTTCTCTTCCCCTATCCTCGTATCTATCCGGAGCAGTATGCCTACATGTGCGATCTCAAAAAGACGTTGGATGCCGGCGGACATTGTGTTCTCGAAATGCCATCAGGAACGGGGAAGACCGTCTCCCTTCTCTCTCTTATTGTCGCATATCAACAACATCAACCTGAACAACGAAAACTCATATATTGCTCCCGAACAATGTCTGAAATTGAAAAGGCTTTGGCGGAGTTAAAAGCTCTCATGAAATACCGTGCTCAACAATTAGGGTTCGCTGAAGACTTCCGCGGCCTTGGTCTAACAAGTCGAAAGAATTTATGTCTTCATCCATCCGTGAAAAGAGAGAAGAGTGGGGCCGTTGTGGACGCTCGATGCCGAAGTTTGACAGCAGGCTTTGTAAAAGAGAAGAAAGAAAAGGGAGAGGATGTTGAGTTGTGTATATATCATGAGGTTTGTCTCTCCCTACTTGATTCTTGGCTACGCTCACCTATATAGAATCTTGACCTCCTTGAACCAAGTAATCTTGTCCCGCCGGGCGTTTTTACACTTGACGATATAACCAAATATGGAGAACAGCATAAACAATGCCCCTATTTCTCTGTTCGACGTATGGTAGGGCTTACCTGATCTTTAATATAAAATCCACCCCTGTGCTAACTACCACTAGATGCCTTTCTGCAAAGTCATAATATACTCATATCACTATCTTCTCGACCCAAAAATTGCAGAGAGAGTTTCACAAGAGTTGTCCAAAGATAGTATCGTCGTCTTTGATGAGGCACATAACATTGACAACGTTTGTATTGAGTCGCTGAGCATCGACTTAACTGAAGATTCGCTACGAAAAGCAAGCCGTGGGGCAAACAATCTTGAACGTAAAATTGAAGAAATGAAGAGATCTGACGCAGAAAAGTTACAAAACGAATACCAAAAGTTAGTGGAGGGATTGAGAGAAGCTGACGAAGCTCGACAAGAGGAACAGTTAATGGCAAATCCTGCGCTTCCGGACGATCTGCTAAAAGAAGCGGTCCCAGGGAATATCCGTAGAGCGGAACACTTCGTAGCCTTTCTGAAACGATTTATTGAGTATTTAAAAACTCGAATGAAAATCACCCACACCATATCCGAAACGCCACTCTCTTTCTTGGCTCACCTGAAAGATTTGACCTTCATTGAGCGAAAGCCACTACGGTTTTGTGCGGAACGACTAACATCGCTCGTCCGGACGTTGGAGCTTATGAACCTCGAAGACTACCAGCCTCTCCAGCAAGTCGCTGCTTTTGCAACCTTAGTAGCTACATACGAGAAAGGGTTTCTCCTTATACTTGAGCCTTTCGAATCAGAAACAGCGACCGTTCCGAATCCAATACTCCATTTCACATGTTTGGATGCTGCTATTGCTATTAAACCTGTTTTTGACAGGTTTAGTTCTGTCATTGTCACTTCTGGGACCCTTTCTCCGCTGGAGATGTACCCCAAGATGCTCAAGTTTACAACGGTTCTACAAGAGTCATATACTATGACCCTGGCGCGTCGGTCGTTTCTTCCTATGGTCGTTACACGCGGCTCTGATCAAGCCCAGATTTCGTCCTCATTCCAAATCAGGAATGATCCGGGTGTAGTCCGGAATTACGGAAATCTTTTGCTAGAATTTTCCCGTATAACACCAGACGGGGTCGTCGTATTCTTCCCGTCCTATCTTTATATGGAATCCATAATTAGCATGTGGCAGGGGATGGGTATACTCGATTTGGTCTGGAATTACAAATTAATTTTGGTGGAAACTCCCGATTCCCAGGAGTCATCGCTTGCCCTCGAAACTTACCGGACTGCATGCTGTAATGGTCGAGGCGCTGTCTTGCTTTGCGTCGCTCGTGGTAAAGTTTCAGAAGGCATCGACTTTGATCATCACTATGGCCGCGCCGTTATTTGCATCGGAGTACCTTTCCAGTATACCGAGTCACGCATACTCAAAGCTAGATTGGAGTTTTTGCGCGAGAATTACCGAATTCGTGAAAACGATTTTCTTTCTTTCGACGCGATGCGCCATGCTGCTCAGTGTCTTGGACGTGTCATTCGTGGCAAGGATGACTACGGAGTTATGATACTGGCTGACCGTCGATTTCAGAAGAGACGCACACAGCTCCCCAAGTGGATTAGTCAGGCCATGCTCGAGAGCGAAACGAATTTAAGTACCGATATGGCAGTGGCAACAGCCAAGAGCTTCCTCAGGACTATGGCGCAACCATTCAAGTCAAAAGATCAAGAAGGGATCTCCACCTGGAGTTTAACCGATCTTGAATATCATGTGAAGAAGCAAAGGGAGGAAGAAGACAAACGACTGAGGGGGGAGATAGCCAATAACCAGATACCATCGGATGTTGTCAATGGAAATCGGAATGGAAGAGTGACTACTGTTGATGAATTCGACGAAAATATTGACCAAGAGCTTATGATGCTTGATGCCTGATGCAAATTCGATACCCCTTTTTCCCATTTTATTTGATGCCAAAGTGTTCCTTATGAGTCTTCAACATCAGTTAATGAGGAACATACTGCTCGGTTGGTTGGCGTTAGATGGCGTTATACTTGGAACCAAAAGGATGACATTTGAGATTGATTTTTTCGAATATTAAAGAAATCTTCTGTACGCTAAATGATACCAAGCATATAGAATATCGTCAACTTTTCCTCGCTAAATATAACACGATTCCAAACTTGGAAAACTGGAATACAAAACGTACAACAACCAAGGGAAAAAGGAGTGCTCATGATTCAAATAACAAGCGACATGATCAGAAAAGGCTGACTCCAGAACGCTTTCAGCCGACAGGAGCAAGTACGTCAAAAGCACCAGTACCGACCGTTCCAACGCGGCCCATCACAATTCTACTACTTGGGCCATTCAGATTATCACAGTCCCTCTCCAGCACGGCATCTCTCAAGAACCCAACAGTGGTCTCGAAGCTCATCTTCATAAACGGTGATGTGCTATCCTTCACCAGACCCATGCGGTTAAATGCGCGGAAACTACCAGCATGGGTCATAACGTCACCAATGAGATTAAGATGGCGATTATCGACCGAGATGCTATGGCCGTCGAAAACGGCTGCCATTTCACGAATAATGCACGCACGGGCAGCCTCGACGCCATACATAACGAGCATGTCGGCGATTGAATTGGTATATAGTGAATGAGGATAGACGAAATCCTGGTACTCGCGCATGGCTAACAAGTTGACACCATCAGTCACGATATGAGCGGGATTTTCCCTGTCACCCTCGATATAGCTGCAGGCTCCCAGGCCCTTGATGAACTGGATTACAGAGGTTCTGGCAGCGTCTTCGACTAGAGGAAGAAGTAGCAGCTTAGGTGTCGAAATATCATATCGTAACTGGATATGGCATGATTTGCCTTTTTTAAGGCTAAATTTGAACTTAGTGATTTCGGCGTATTTCCCAGTAATAGTGTCTTCACTCTGTTTGCTCTTTTGTAATTTTTCTGAGTCAGAGCCGGTGTCTGTGTCTTGCATGTCAACATCCTCAGTCGCAGCATGCTCCCCATGGTGATTGCCGTCAGTTTCTTCATCAGAATCTGAGTCTGGCTCTTGGGAATCTTGTCCACGGATAATGTCTTCCTCCCCGTCATCAGGAGCTTCGTAAGAGACTTGATTTGAACGATTCATGTGTGACATTGCCCTTTTCGCATCGTCTTGGTCCTCCTCGTCATCATCATCATCAGCATCGGCGTCTCTGGCTTCATGCCCAAAACGCCTGGTAGGTTCTTCCACCACGCCCGTGGATGTACCAATGTCGGGTTGGGCAGCGGAGAAAGCAGAAAGTGATTTCTCATCAGTCCGTTTCTTCAACTCCGCTCTTGTTAATTTGATAAGCCGTGGTACAAACTTGTGTTGAAGAGTTTTGAGAATATCCTCAATCTGGATGGCATATTCTTCTGTGTATTCCTCTGGAGGGAAGAAATCTATTTCTAAATCGTATATTTTTGCCATCCCGTGACTTGACCCAGATGAAACGCGCTCATGGACTCTAAGGGTGTCCACGACTTCCGCGATGGTAAGCTTGCTAATCGCTTTAGCAAAAATTCTTCCATCCTTTTCAGTAAGCTCCTTTCTCAGGACGCCGGTCATAGTGGGTGTAAGGATTTGGTTACTAGCGGTCATGACAATTTCGCGTAGGCGAGGAATACCAAGGGTCACGTTCTTCGCTGAATGTCCAGCCAAATGGAAAGTGTTGAGAGTCATCTGGGTAGACGGCTCGCCGATAGACTGTCCCGCAACAATTCCCACGGATTCACCGGGTTCCACAACCGATCTCATATATTTCAGATTCATCACCCTGGCAAAGTCCTTTTTGGAAATTCCTTTCTCGACTTTGCCTTTCTCTTTTAGGATTTGATCGGGATTTTCTTTTTGATACTAGTAGCGATGTGTCAGCTTAGAATATTTGAATGTCACAACGTTCTTCAATCATATATTTACCAATTTTAATGCCATTGCGAAGGTTTCTGAGGTACTTCCATAGCAGGATCCAGGAGGGAAAAGGGAAAGCGCGGGGTCTACACAGTCCAATTTGCCCGTCTTTCTATATTTTTTAATGGCATGTCGATTCCAGTCTCCCGCCTTGTCGCTCTTAACTCTATTAAACTCGTCAGATCCATTGAGTTCTTCAACGACGGACCAGAAATTGTGAGCCAAAAAAGGAAAGTCTTGCAAATGCTTCTGCTTGGTAATCTCGAGGCCATCTTCGCCGTAGAGGAACTGCATGACAGATCCATCTGCGGTCTCGCGAACAGAGTTGTCATATTCTGCCTTTAATCCCTCCATTCCTTTGATTAAGCATCGCTGGAGATACCCGGATCTTGAAGTCTTAACAGCAGTATCAATAAGACCTTCTCGACCCGCCATAGCGTGGAAATAATACTCCTGAGGCTTTATTCCTGTAAGGAAACGCCCAGAGACAAAACCACTGGCCATTAGGTTGGTGTCAAACGGTCTGAATGACGGCAATGTTTTCCCACTAATCATCACAGGCACTCTACGACCTTCAAGAACTTGCTGGCCTAAGTTACAAGAAATGAGGTTCGCGTTGACAACAGATCCCTTCGCTCCAGATGTCGTCATCGTTTGCATTTGGTTCCATGGGAATGGCTTTTCGAGCCCGACCGGAAGGCAGGCAGCTGTAATGTCAGATGATATATCAGCAGCTTGCGAATTTAAAACAGCGTCTAATCCAGCCTGCTTTTCGTCATCACGGAGAGCATCTTCAAGGCGCCGTTTAAGCTCAGCCTCTTCGTCCTCAAATTTGGTTTGATCCAAGGTCACATATTTGAGCGCTACATGACGACCTATATGTTCGGCTTCTTGCAGTTTCTTTCTCCGGTCCTCGTTTCCCTTTTTGGTCAGGCGAAGATCATCAATACCACAAGTAAACGCTCGCATATGCAAAAATTTTGTCAGCAAACGTCCTAAAACACCCAGCAATTTTCCAGCAACAACATGTCCATAAATCTCGTGGACTGAATGGATGAGGCCGCCAGGACTTGGTCCCAGCTGGGCAGAGTCGAGGATACCACAAAGAAGCTCGCCATCTCGAAAAATGACTTGTCCCTCCTCAGACCCTTCACCCCAACGATCACCTGACGTTCTTGATTTCCCTGTAAGGTTCAAGCCATAGAACCTTTCTGGTGTAATATTCATCATAATCGTAGAGATTACCTGTTTGCCAGTCCAAAGTTTTCGTGGTCGCAATATTGCCGGCTTCATAAGAAGAATCTTATCGGTTACGGTGAGGGAGTTCTCTGGTCGCAAACAGTTGTACAACAGCTTCCAATGTCATCTTTATCAAAGAATGTATCGCGACTCGTGAACCATGTTCCCATGCAATATATGATCCTGGATCAACCCTCTAAGTGGTTTCCCCGCTGTGGCGGATAAGTATTGATGATCAGTATCAGCTAACTGCATTGCTTCCACTCTAGCCAATTCATTTTGCGGAAAATGCAGATTCATCTCGTCACCATCGAAATCTGCGTTGTAGGTTTTACAATTTGCGTAATGCATCCTAATTGTTCTTTCTCCAGTAAGCACTCGGGCGCGATGACCCATTATAGATGGTTTGTGGAGGGTGGGCTGCCGATTCATAAGCACGACATCGCCAGTGGTTAGATGCCGGTATACTTTCTTGCTTCTCGATCGTTTCATCTTGAAGTTTGAAGGGGAAAGCAGCATGTTGGCAATGGCGAGTCGCTCTTCTTGGCTTTTGAATTTCAGGCTCACTACTTGACCAATCTCATTCTCAACGGCAGCTGCGCCAGGATAGACATCGGGCCCGTTTATCACGGCATTTTTAAGTTCCCAATAGTTATGGTTTGTGACTGGCTCTGGATAGGTGAGCTTTTTCGCGAAAACCAGAGGAACTCCAATTTCATTGGTTTCAATGTTTGGATCGGGAGATATGACACTTCGTGCGGCGAAGTTAACTCGTTTTCCCATCATATTTTTCCGAAACAGCCCATCTTTCTTTTCCAGTCTCTGTTTGATACCGTCTTCATTTTGAATACCTGCCACTCCCTGGTTCGGGTTACGGTCACGATCGATAAGGCTGTTGACCGCATCCTGTAACTGTACGATTGCCTGAAGCAGGTCCCGGTAATCTCGTAACCTAGTGACAGACTCTGTGCTGTCGCCTTGTCTTTCTCTGCTAATTTGGTTTATTTGGTCGCAAAGTTTCATGATTCTAGTAAACGAGATGTTTTGTTGCGCTTCTATTATATCATTCGAGCCAGTAGCAGCTATTGGGCGATATTTGTTTGGCGGCACAAGAATGTTCTTAATGAAGAACATATCAGGAGTAACGCGTGGGCGGTGCTTTGATTTTGGCCGTGAGTCGTATACCAGATCTAAAACTTCTTGTTCCTTTTCGAAGAGAAGGCGCAGCGCTGCATAAACTTCAGGCGACGGCATGAATTGTTGAGCCCCTTGTTCACTGGGATTGTTCCGAGACCCCCTCTCTTCAACTTGTGTCAATACTGCATTGCCCATGGTAATCTGCTGTTCTGCACCGTGTAAATCCGTCGAAACACTAGCATCGTCATCGTCATCGTCAAGGTAGCCATTCATATTAGAACCTTGCGACTGGTGGCCATGTTTCTTGGAAAGGTCGTTCGCTTCTTTTATCAGCAACAGGGGGTTGGGGACATGAAATCCAGCCTCGGACATAGCGACTTTAGCCTTTTGCGGTAACGGCTTCTTGAATATCTTTGAGTATTTATCTCTACGGAACGGAGGAGAAATACTATAAACTGGTTAGTCGCCGAATCACTACCTCATCTGACGGAAATGCTCACCCGCTACAAGATGCGCATTTTTTAACAGCCGTGATATCCTTAAGAAATGCCCTTACGATATTCCTCCGTTGTTCCGCAGCAACGGGATTCTTTGTACCATGCAAAAAATTCCCCTCCTTGTTCCTGGCTAACACTTGATGAATACACCGTTTGACATACACATCCCGACACCTCACAAGGTCTTCTTCGTCTTCATCTTCACTATCTCCTGATTCTGAACCAGCATTACCTTTACCTCTTCGAACTTCCATACTATCAATCGCCGCAGCCTCCTCCACCAAACCGTACTGCAACAGTCGCAGCTTGCACGTGTAGGACATTATATCTGCCCGAGACATCCTGAAGCGATGGCAATAGACACACTGCGCTCGCAGGAGGCGAAATAGCTGGTCGAAAAAAGTGACATTATATACATGGACAGGCAGCTCGATATGTCCGGCATGGCCATTGCAGGACCAGGAATTCAGACGGCATGTAGTACATCTAAGACGTTTTCAGTCAGCAAAACGCATGTCAACGAACGGCGAAAAGGGGGAAAAATTGTCGCATACATATGGTCACCCCATGCTCCAAGAGCAGGATCGTACAATCCTCCTGGGACTGGATTGTTCAGCGAATCTAGTGTAGGGGTGTTGTATATAAGTTTGACGGAGATTGTTTTGATCTCCTCGTTGGAGAGGACCCTAAAATCAACCCCCTCAATTGACGAGGAAATCGGCCGAGTGAAGCTAGCCATTTCCTCCGAAATCCCTAGACTTCTGCTGCTGAAATTGCTTTGGCCATCGACTGGTGAAGAGGAAAAAAAAGCAATGGAGAACGAAATTTCTCCTTCGACGGTTGTGAAACTTTTCTGCCGTTGCACACCGCTTCGCAACTATTGTCATTTTCCCGCGCCTCAACTTCATTCAACCTTCAACGAACATCTTTTTATGGCCTCCAACAATAACCACATATCCAGCAAGTGTCCACTATTTCCCCACACGTCGATAAAATCGTTTGGGTGAGTGGATTCATCCAAAATTCTGGCTATGGCGGACACTGGCAATATGCTGAAGAGACCCCATCCAGAAGATGATGAAAGCAACCTTCAGAAACGACCACGCTCCAACAATGGATCCCCTATGCCAACCAACAATGGGGGGATCAGCAAGGAGGAAATCGAAAGGATGGTTGCTGAGGCGCGTGCAAAGGCAGAGGCTGCTCGAGCGAAAATTCAAGCTGCAAGAGGAGGCACTGCGACACCAGTGTTGGGGTCAAGTATCCAAGCACCATCTTCAGCAACAACAGCTAGTCCAGCACTTTCGAGACTCGAGCAAATTAAGGCGAGAGTGGCCGCAGCTACAGGAAAAGTAAATACGACAACCCAGCAACGGACACCTGTCCCGCCCATGTTTATGCCTCCAGTTGTTGACGATGGTGTATCCCGAGCCAGAGGAGGATTAGATGTCGGCTTGCATCCCGCTCTGTTAGGCGACTCTACTCAAGAGTCAAAGTCGTCGAAAGGCAAACAAACAATGCAGCCTAAGTTTGCTACTACTATGGCAAATCAGCGAACTGAGTCACCAGTTCCTTCGTTCAAGTCTGGTAAATCCAAAACGCAACTAGATCTGTCCGGCCCTTCCCTCGAAGAAACGAAAAACAACCCATATTTTGATCCCAACCTCGGTGCAAAAACTGCTCTAGCGAAGCCTCGTCAATCACGTCAGCTTGTATTTAATCAAAAAGGGAAATATATCCAGCAAGCAGCAGCACTTCGCCGACTAGCTCAGCTAGAGGCTATGAAAAAGAAGATCGCGGAGCGTGCACGCCAAGCAGGCGTAGACGAAGATTTAGATGTTGAAAAAGCGTTCCTCGTTCCAACTCCTCCAGCAATCGAATGGTGGGATGAGGGTTTGGTCAACGGTTCGAATTATTCTGCCATTGATGACCCTCAAAATCTCAAGATTGACACTCCAGATACTGTAGTCTCTTTATATATTCAGCATCCTGTTCTCCTCGATCCTCCGCAAGATAAAAACATACCAGCGCCAAAGCCAATGTTTCTTACGCCGAAAGAGCAAGCCAAAATCCGGCGCCAGCGGCGAATGGCCGATCTTAAAGAACAACAGGCAAAGATAAGATTAGGGCTCGAGCCTGCTCCACCACCAAAAGTCAAGAAGTCCAATCTTATGCGCGTTCTAGGTGAAGAAGCCGTCAAGGATCCGACCGCTGTCGAAGCCCGTGTCAACCGGGAAATCGCCGAACGATTCAACAAACACGTGACAGCGAATGAATCCCGGAAGTTAACAAGAGAGCAACGGCTTGAGAAACTTGCCATTCAGCAAGAACAAGACGCGCTGAAAGGCATACACATGTCCGTTTATAAAATAGACAACCTCGCAAACGGCCGTCACCGTTTTAAAATCAGCAAAAACGCAGAACAGAACAACCTATCAGGCATGTGTATTTTGCATCCGAAATTCAACCTCGTGATTGTCGAGGGTGGTCATCATTCCATCTCCGCGTACAGGAAACTCATGCTCAATCGCATTGACTGGACAGAGAATACTCATCCAAACAACGAACGCGAAGCGCTCGCATTATGGCTTGTCGCAGAGGATGAGAAGACAGGAGAACTGAAGGATTTGAGTCAAAACACATGTACACTAGTTTGGGAGGGGGAGGAGAAAACTAGAGCGTTTAGAAAATGGTTGGGTGCGCGTGTATGTGAGACGGATGCTGCAGCAAAGGATGCATTGTCGCGGGCTAAGCTAGAAAACTTTTGGACTTTGGCTAAAAGCATGAAGGCTGAGAAAATTTAAATGCTGGGTGAAATTTTGATATCTCCCTTATCAATTTGTTTTTCAGCGAATTGTCGTTGAGCGGTTTTGTATCATTATATGCTCGAGATATATCACACTTTCAAAGGTCCAGATAAACCCACTCAAGCCCTATCCTTGAATAACCGCATTATTTGAAAAATTGTCTAAATGCAAGATCCACAGCTATGTTTGTTTAAAAAAAAAAAAAAAAAAAAAAAATATTATACCGTTAACCTTGAGCCACGTAGTACGTAGATTATGAAAACGACCTGGTATCTCGAGTAAACCACTGCTAACACGAACAAAAGCAGAAACCAGCAATCAGGTAGAGTAGACGGAAAAGCTCAACACAAACAAACCATAAAGGGAAAAGTAAAAACAGACATGCACACTCTTGATCCTAGAAAATAAATAAACTCCCAGTCTTTTTGTGTCATTCTCTCATCTTTCTCAAGAATATCCAGTCATATCCCACCTCGGCAATCATTTAAGGGTAGGAGTATAAAGATCTTCCAAATTCTCAACGTAGCAACGATATAATACAGAAAGAGGCAATCAATATCGAATGGGAATAAACAATTTCGGACAAATAAAACAAGAAGTTAAGAAAGAAAATGAAAATGAAAATTTTGCATAGTATAACAGAAGCCGCTGTCCAAAAGCAGATACTGGTCATGAACCACTCCGACTAAGCCTCCTTAACAGATCCAGCTGGGCCTGTGCAGCAGCGAAGGTATCGGCCGATGTCTGTGTGGTAGGCACTTGGGATGAGTGCTGGCTTTGTAGCCTCTGCTGAGCTTGTTGAGGTGGTTGGTAGGGTGGATTCTGTTGCTGTTGTTGAAGATTGCGGAAGAATGCTGGGTTGATATGGGAACCGGGGGGTGGAAAAGGAGAGGAAGATTGAGACTGGTGAAGAGGTTGAAAAAGAAATTGTTGCTGCGCTGGCAAGAAACCCGGGGTGGAGAAGGCTTGATTGGTGTTGAACACCTGGGAAGGTTGATTTTGTTGGGAAGTTTGATGGGGATATGAAGACGAGTTGTAAGGCACGGACTGCTGTTGAGAAAGATTCTGGGCTTGGTAGAACGCCTGTGTGAATTCAGCAGACTGTCCAGGGTAGATATGCTGTGATGTTTCTTGCTGCTGCCGTTGCGGCTGTTCGAGATGATTTTGAGACTGCCGAGGTTGGCGGTCATCTCCGTGCTTCTTGTAGCTGCCGCCTCTCCCGCGACCTCGCTCCCCTCGATCACTGCCTCTGCCTCTACCCCTGCCTCTACCCCCTCTAGAATTCCTTTCTGCAAATTGATTGCGAAGGTGCGATTCCTCCGTGGGCGCTTCTGTATGACCTATCATTTCATGAAAATTCTTTGGCCGAGACAACGGAGTATAACCATCTTCCGTGTTAATATCATCATAGTTTATCTCCGAACTCCGAAGTCCAGAAGGACCCAATCGATCTCTTCTCTGTTTTCCGTGTCCGTTAGCGTCACGGTGCCCATCCTTCTTTCCTTGACGTTTCTGTTTGAGCTGCCGCTTGTATTGAGCCTCCGCCTCGTCGTCAGAGAACTCGATCTCCTCCTCGCCAACCTCCTCATCGTGGAAATTAGATGCATCACTGCCCTTCAGTCCCTTCAAAGGCTGTGTGAAAACGAATGTAGAGTGATCCACAACGTAGAAAACCGGAGTGCCCTTGTCCAATTTTGCTTCTTTTATCGATTCTTCGTTTGGGAATCGAACTGTATATCGTGGTTGCTCCACTCTTCCAAGGGTTTCCGATACCATGCCAATGACACTAAGGTCAGCAAGGCAGAGAACGGAGCCACTCTCCAGCACTTGGTATTCCCCAGATATATTTGCCTTGATTAAGACCACGTTTTCAACAATTGTCTCCACATTACCCAGAACTTCTACCTTCATCTCAGGCGTGACGGTAATGTCGGGCTTCGGCACTATCTCCTCTGGCTTTTCGTTCGCAGTTCTAATATGGGACCCTTTGTGCTTTTCATCTCCCTCATCATCGGAACCCCCCTCCGCAGCCATTAATATACGGGCTTGCTCTTCAGGGTCTAATAAGTCATAGTCGTCGCTGCTATCGCCATCATCATCGCTGCTATCAGAGGAGGAATCTGAGGAAGAGGACTCATATGGTGAAGAGTCAATTTCCCACTCCGGGTTTTCACTATTATCGGAGCCAATTTCAGACCCTCCGGCATAAGAATCTCCCAGCACTCCATTATGCGTTGACGGAATCGATTCCTTGCTAACCTCCGGAACGGAAGGGATATCGTTCTCGGATTCTTCTGGGGCTGTATGGCTCCGGCTCTGATGTTCTCCTTGGCGATGCTGATCCTCTGGGCTTGTCGTTCTCATTTCTACATCGTTCGGAGCAGGGACTTGTTTATCCAATTCTTGCGACATGCCCAGTTCACAGGCTCTATCCAAAGAGTTTGTCTGTTCAACGGCGTCACTATGGCCAGAACCTTCAACCGTTTGGGACTCCGCAACAGCAGTTGTCTCACACAAAAAGGTCAGTCCAGGTATCGCGGTCGCAGTTTTCGGCAGCGCAGGCGGAATGATGTGGTTATTATCTTCTGCGAGGCTATTCTGCGCGGTAGGGACTGGTGTTCCTCCTTTTATAGGCGTGTAAAAATCGCTTCCCTCATCCTCTACCGGCTCTCCTCCGGGCTCTATCCTGTTCGACGCCGGGTCAAGACAAGGCCGTTTCGAAGGAGGATGCTTATTATCTCCAGACAATATACAATCCGCTGACGGTACGTCTGCCATCCCTTATGCTTGTAAAATGCGACAGGTAGAAAACTTGGTGAGTTTTTGTTCGGAGATATTTTAGCAGCATTTCTCTCTGCCAAAATAGAAGCCGAATCTTTTTGAAAATATGCATCTGCACACCTGGGGGACCCGGGCCACCGTAGGAGCTTCAAACGGAAGTCAGTCAGGAAATCGGATATTATATTTCTTCTTCTCCTCCTTCTTCTTCCTTCAGGAATAAATATCCTCCAATGTGCGCCCAGTAAAAATGCCTTCCAAACAGAGCCAGTTAGCTGGTTCTTACAGTTATGAAAGCTCTGTGGAAGGAGCCTCAAAGAGCAGCCCCAAGTATGTAACTCTATCACAATCGCGCAAGACGTCGGCTAACCATACAGCGGCATAGGCCAGCTCCGAATCCGTTCTTTATTCCATTAAACGTCGGCTTCTACGCATTCCTGCTCGCAAACACACTCGCAGCCTCCCTTGCACCCATACAAGACTGCGATGAGGTCTTCAACTACTGGGAGCCAACACACTACCTAGTCCATGGATATGGTCTCCAGACTTGGGAGTACTCGCCTGAGTACTCCATTCGTAGCTGGCTCTACGTCTCCCTCCATGCTGGTATAGCCAAGATATCTACTCTCGTTACGCAATCGAAAACAGCACAGTTCTATTTCGTCAGAATGGCGCTTGCATTCATATGCGCCGCTTGCGAAACGAGGATATTCGCGGCCATCTCACGAACACTCCATCCGCGAATTGGAGTCATATTCGTGACGATCTTGGTATTCAGTCCCGGGATGTTCCATGCATCCACTGCAATGCTACCATCCAGCTTTACGATGTACACCTCGATGCTCGGCATCTCTGCGTTCATGGACTGGCGCGGAGGTCTAAACACAGGTCGTGGTATTATGTGGTTCGGCATTGGAGCTATCGTCGGATGGCCATTTGCCGGCGCTCTTGTGGTATCCTTTTTATTAGAGGAGGTTCTCATTGGATACGTTTCCGAATTCCTACACCGAACCTTAATTCGATTTACTGAAGGTGTCATAAAGTGTCTGATAGTTTTAGTAAGCTATTTTTCAAAGACTAACTTACATGTCCGTACTGATAATCGCAGGTTCTCGAGGTTGTGACTGATAGCTTGTTTTACCGGAAACTCGTCGTCGTTCCGTGGAATATCGTATCATATAACGTGTTTGGTGGCAGCAACAAGGGCCCCAATATTTTCGGAACCGAAACTTGGACATTTTATTTTCGAAATCTGCTGCTCAATTTCAACATATGGTTTCTGCTAGCTCTCTCCGCAGCTCCTCTCCTCATTTTACAAACAGTCTTCCGACCACGCGATACGTCCAAGCAAACGATACTGCGAACGGTAGCCTTGCTTTTACCCTTTTACATATGGTTCGGTATATTTACGATCCAGCCTCATAAGGAAGAACGCTTCATGTACGCAGCCTATCCTTTCTTAGCTTTGAACGCGGCAATTGCGTTCCACAACATTCTCGCCTATCTCGGTTCGAGTAATCGCAAAGAATTTATTGGCCGTGTGCCACGAAAGGTGAAACTCGCAATCGCTCTCATGCCTGTGCTCCTCGCTACGAATATAAGTCTCCTAAGAACTTTGGGGATTGTTACTGCATACAGCGCTCCGCTTCAGCTTTTCCAGCCGTTAGAAAACCCCGAGGTAGCAGCCCATGGGGATCATGTGTGCTTTGGAAAGGAGTGGTACCGTTTCCCATCATCATTCTTCTTGCCTGACAAGAAAAGAGCCAAGTTCATTAAAAGTGAGTTCAATGGACTGCTTCCCGGCGAATTTACCACAGAAGCAGACGGCCGAGGCCCACGGCCAGGGACGTGGATGGTGCCCTCTGGGATGAACGACCAAAATCAAGAAGACCCAGGGAAATACGTGAGTATACGCTATATACTGCGTTCGCTAATATGGCACATTCACTAATTCGCAGCAGATCAATATCTCGCAGTGTAATTTCCTTGTCGATTCATACTTTCCAGGAGACGAGGCATCTGCCCTACAGCCCAACTACGTTCTCGACAAATCCACGTGGGAAGAGATTTCGTGCAGGAGATTCCTTGACACCAAGAGAACGAGTCTCCTGGGTCGAATAATTTGGATACCCGACCTTCCCTTCATTCCAGAGAAACTCCAACGCAAATGGGGACGATATTGTCTTCTTAGACGACGAAATCCTGATACCAGCCCGTGATGACTTACTTCCCCAGAAAGAAAGACATAAAATAAAAAAACAAACCGCGAAGAGGAACTTGTGAGAAGGAGGTGGAGAACCCGAAGAAAACACAGATATCTAGATGATCGTGTGGTCTTCAAAAGGAAATGCTTATGCTTATTTCTAGGGATTTGGCAGCAGCGAACTCACATAGTTGTCTCTCATATCATACATATACCGCAGTTTTCCCGGAGCTGTTTACGATCCGCACGAATTTTTTTTTTTTTTTTTTTTTTTTTCTTTAGCGTTCCGGTTAAGGGGAGAATTGCGAGGGAGCCTGCCTGGTGTCCCTGCATGGCGGCTAACTAGTAGCCTGCGTGGAGATAATGTGGTGAGGCATATATATATATATATATATATATGGCGGAAGAAGTGATAGGGACATGTCCAATATATTCCTTACCTCCTTCAGGACCACGACATCCTATCTATTATTACTATTATACTACTACTTATGATTAACTCGCCCCAAGTATAATATAGTACAACTTGAAATCCATCCAAATCCGGCTCCCACTGAACAGGCCAAACGCAAAGAGGGCCGGGGAGGGGAGGTGAGGTGAGGTGAGGAGAGCATGATATCAGAGTGAAAAATCAATAAATACAAAGTTCAAGAGAGTATAGCCAGGCATATGTGTAGAGTATATTACATATATATATATATATATATATACTAGTATACTAGACTATTTGTTAACTACCAGGTCGACCGCAAAAGAAAAGAGGGAAAAGTGATCAACGCATTAGTTTTAATTAATGTAGTATACTGTACATACATATACAATAGTGCCCGTGGCCGTGGCCGTGGCCGTTCCTCGTAACCAATAGAAATAATATACAAATACAGTGGGCAAGGACTCAGGGGGGAGGGGGGAAAAAAAAGAAGAACGCAATTCAAATGCAACATACAACGATGAAAAATAAATTCTAATAATAAAAAGCCCCCAATTCCAAAATTATAAATCAAGGTGTCACAAAAAAGGTACGCCCTATCCATTTGATATATAGCCAAGTAGAAAAGAAAAGAAAATCGTTTGTTGGCGTGCTCCGCAACGAGGCATACACTGAGAGGAAAAAAATTCACAAAATAAGAGTGAGTGAAGAAAAACAATACAGAAGATATAAAAGTAACAACTAATTATTCTTCTGAGCAAAGAAAAAGACAAGTCAAAATGCAAAAAAAAGACCATTGTATGCCTAATGCTTCATTTCATGCTTCATCACACTTAAAATAATGCTTGCTTGCTTGCTTCATCATGCGTTGCTTTCCACAACATGAAAGGGAAAAATGACTTAAGCCAAAATATTAAAAAAAACAAAAGAAAAGACAAAAAACAAAAAGGGCAAGAAAACACCACCCCAATTTTTAACCCATGCCAATCCATACCAGATCCACTCCAATGCAATGCAATGCTAGGGGGCAAACAAAAGAAATATATATTAAAAAATCGTATTCTTCCTCAATCATCCAGAGATTGACGTTTTCGTTGTTTCATAAAGTGAAAATAAAAAAGAATTGAACAAGGTTGTTGTTCTTTCCCCAATAAAAGCCAAAACAGTGGTAGAATCGAAAACTGGAAAACCTAAAAACCGAAAACCAAAAGAAAAAAAGAAGAAGAAAAGAAGAAAGAAAAAAGTTTTCTAGAACAAACAAACAAACAAGAGACTCAACCCAAAAACCGTGCAATGCCGGCCATCGGCCGAATGGAAATTGATGCGAAGAAACATCCAACAAACAAACGCGCAACACAGCCGCGACGTATGGCTGTGCACGCCTGTTGAGGCTGGGCCTTGCGCTTAACCCGCGGTCCAGTCTTGAGGCTGTTCCTCCGCGCGGGTCAGGCTTCCAAGCGTGGCATAAATGACGTCACTGTGATGCATATGGGTGGGCACCTTCCCGCTTTGGGAAGAGTGGGTCCCAAAACGGTACCAGTTTTGTAAGCAGACAAATCCCGAATAGGAATTTGATAATGCCAACTGCTGCCGCCTGATTGGGCCGCCATGTCCCGCGGAACGGTGCCGACGTATGCATCCTGGATTGGAAACTAGTGTTGAAGGACTTTGCTCCGGACGCTGGGTCATACGTCTTGGCGTCCGTCACAACTCATCTTGGCGCGGCTGGCGTCATCGTGCCTTAAGCTTCGTCTCCAAGCTTGTTCTGCTTTTTCGATGTTTCCGGCTTGCGTGGTCGCGCCGGCTTCCTCACGGAAAAACAGCGCGCGCGACCACATATGATGCATTGCACAACGTAAGCTTTCCTTGGCACTTTCCTTTCGCAAGCGTAAGCTTGGATGGAAATATGGCAGCGCAAGTTGTGCTAAGGATTGAGTGGGGAATTGCGTCTTGTTTTTTTGTTTTCCTGCGTTTTTCCTTGAAAAATAGTGTGCTCTCGGGGAAAAAAAAGAAAGGAGAGAAAAAGCATAGTCGAGGGTGAAAGGCATACAAGACCTGGTTGGTTGAATTCTCCCTTCAATCCCTTGACTTGCGTTTCTGCTTGCCTGGCCAATCGACTTCCGGGTGGACAACCCGCATGTGCCGTGTCAGGGCATCGTTGCGGGAGAATGTCTTTTCCTCGGTACATAGATGGCACCGCACCTTCTGCTTCCGGGAGTTGTGGATCGTATCCTCATGTCTCGTAAGGTCGTAGGGGCGGGAGAAGACAGAGCTGCAAGGTTTGCCTGTAGATGGATTGATGCGCTCGCAGCGGTGAGGTCCAGCCTGCGAGTTGCGCATTGCCAGAGAACCGGCTGACGAATCGCGCACCATTGCGTGTGAACCAGGGGTCGTCTGGCGATGGGCTTCCCGCTTGTGCTTTTGTAGTTTCGCAGGTGTCTCGAAGCGTAGAATGCATCCGTGGTAGGTGCAGCTGTACGTGCCCCCATCAGAGGAAGTATCATCCGGACGCTTGGCAGGTTCGCCAGTGGGGTTCGACGTTGGCGCTGCTCTTAAAGGCGATCTGTTGCTCGCAGATGTGTTCGTGTCGCTAGACGTAGAGTCCATAGACGGCAGTTGACGTGGGAATTCAGGCGTGTGGTGGACAAGGTTATTTTCCCGTTGGCTTTGAGGCGGATGCGCCCGACGGGCCTGTTGTCGCTGTTGCGATTGCGATGGCTGCGGCTGGTGTTGATGTTGTTGCTGGCCCGAGAGCTGGAGAGGGATCTGCTGCTGCTGAATGTAGCCAAACTGCTGCGGCATATTGTTTTTGTGTTGGTCATATTGGTTTGCGTATTGCTCCATATGTGGAATATGGAAGGTGGCAGAGTTGCCCATTGGCGACACGCGATACTGAGAAGGTTCAGACTGCGACGGGAACAGCGACATGTTCGCATCGTCCGGAGACTCATTGTACTCAAGTAATGCGTCCTTGGGCGAGATGGTTTTTGGTTCCGGCTGTGCCGGGCCCATCAACATATTTGATTGCTGTTGGGCGGCAAGATTCAATTGATCCGGAAAAGGTTGAGACTGCGACATCTGTGCATCGTTAAATGCAGCTTGCTCATGCAAGAACGGGGAGTTATCTCTCCATGGGGACCGGTGGCGCGCTGCTGACGTCGAGCGGGATTGCGATTGGTCAGAGATATGGCCTTGGTGCGCAGCCTGTATCCGGTCTGTAATGATATTGCGATGGTAAGGAGAATACATCTTCGCGTTTTGGGTAGAGAATTGCATGGATGGCTTTGGCGTGGTAGAAGCGTTCGGGTTATATAATTCGTCTTGGTAGATGTCAGAGATGGTCCTAGTCAGCTTTGGAACGCCCATCGGAGTGCTGCTGTGGTCACTGAAATCTACACGGTCATCAAAACGTAAGTAATCATCCATCCACTTATCGACGTCGGGATATGTGCCCTCACCATGTGACATGGGCTTAGAACCATCTTCGAAGTCTTCGGAGTAAGTCGCGTGAGGTGTTACCGGAGAGTTGTGACTCAATGTGGACACTGAAGGAGGAACAGATAAAGGAAACGATTTGTCATCCTCCGCTGCTTGCTGCTGGTGCTGGTGCTGCTGCTGCTGCCGTTGTTGTTGTTGTTGCTGTTGTTGCTGTTGTTGCTGTTGTTGTTGTTTCTGTTGCTGCTGTTGTTGCTGTTGTTGCTGTTGTTGCTGTTGTTGCTGTTGTTGTTCCAGAATACCTCTTCTCATTGCCAGTTCTACCTCTGACTGCTGGTAGTCATGA